AGAGAGAGAGAAAGAGAGAGAAAGAGAGAGAGAGCGTGAGACAAATACAGAAGTTGAGAGAAAGGTGGAAAAGATGAAAGGTGGAAAGGCCAGAGAGGGAAGAGAGTCGTAGAAAGGGGAGGAGGGGGTGGTTAGGGGGTGGTCGGGTGGTGGCTTGTGGTCGTCCTCTCTCGGGTTGGTAATGACAGATCTCAGGTTAATTACGTGTGTCTGCCCACCTGAAATAACCGCCATTACATTGCGAAATCACCAGCACTACCCAGAAGCACTGAGAACATAGCCCGACCTCCCACTAGGGCTGGCCAATGAGTCGCTTTAACAAAATCCGGATAATGTGTTAGTGCCCCTCTTCGGAAAATAATATGTTATGAACCGCTTCGGCAAATGGGTTAGATAGAACCACCTCGACAAACGGATTAGAACAACTCCAACAAATGGGTGCACCCACTTAGGCAAAAGGGTTAGGAAAGAGAGTTTAATTAAGAGTCTGAATTCAGATAATGTTTCATTGAGAATTATCCGGTTATCCTTATAGGTTATCTGGATTTTGCCAACCAATACCTCCCACACCAACGCTTTTGGCATTTTTGATTACGAAAGTCAGCGACATAGCATTGTGCTCAGTAGACAATTATGTGTTGTGGGGGTTTTCTTTTTCTGTGTAGCCTGAGGTTCAGTATTGAGAAAGGCAAACGACGCAAAAAGTAATCGCAAAGGCATAAGGGTATCAAGAACAACAGGAGCAAAAAGTAACCGCAAAGGTAAAAGAAAATAGCATCAATAATAAGAACAACATCATCATCATCATCATTAGCAGCAGCAGCAGCAACACCAAAACAATTAATGAATAATAGTTAACAACAACAACAACAACAACAACAACAACAACAACAACAACAACAACAACAACAACAACAACAACAACAACAACAACAACAACATAAACAGCAATGGTTCTGGTGCTGCATCCCAGTGTCTTCTTCTTCTTCTTCTTCTTCTTCTTCTTCTTCTTCTTCTTCTTCTTCTTCTTCTTCTTCTTCTTCTTCTTCTTCTTCTTCTTCTTCTTCTTCTTCTTCTTCTTCTTCTTCTTCTTCTTCTTCTTTCTTCTTCTAGTCTAGCTCTAATGGACCACGGACTAGCACGCAACAGAAAGCATAATTATATACCATAATTGCAGAACTGCCCTATTTTCCGACTCCTCTCCCCAGTCTTCCGTCTCCAAAAATAAATAAATAAATAAATAAATAAATGAATGAATAAATAAATAAATAAATAAATGAATGAATAAATAAATAAATAGATAAATAGTTTTTCTTTCCCAAATCCCACAACTCCCTCTAAATCTACAAGCCCATAATATCTTAACGTATTGGGAAACTTGGCAAATAGCAGCGCGTGTCTGCTGCAAACAATCTAAAAAGTTATTCTAAGAAGCTTTTTTTTTAGGGGGGGGGGGGGCACTGTGTGTGTACAAACCTGCCTCTTTATAATTTCTGACATGTGCAGGAAGACATGGGATTCATTATTTGCGTTTCGTATTACACAAAATCAACCGAGCCGGGGAAAAAACAACAACATCAACCTAACAGGATCAGAAATCTATAGGATCATTCTATAATTACAGATCCCAGAAAGGAAGAGACGGCCATCAGGAAGATGAGGAAACTTCCTTTTTTTCCCCTCATATTTTTTACGGTTAATTTAGTTAGCCGTGCACGACGGAGTTTAGACAGGGAATGGGAGAACGGGTATTGTTACAGAAGTTTGGGGAGGGTCGGGGCTGAAAGGGGAGAGGGGGGGGGGGGGGTGAAAAGGGGGGGGGGGGAGGGCAGTGCAATCGTGATATGACGATCGTGATATGACAATATTGTAGAAATAGAAAAATTCATTCGACCAACTGTTTTTGCTGTAATCTTGTATTTCTCCTAGCTGCAAGCTGTTTAGCTGTTGTAAGACAAGAGGGGAAAACAGTCAGAGAGGAGAAAGAAAAAAAAGCTGTTCCATTCTTTTGAAGATTGAACCTACATTTTGTATTTTTGAATTATTTTCCCCCCAACATTTAGAATTTGATTCTTTAAAAAACTAAACAAAATATATCTCTAGTACATGTAAACGAATATACCACAGATTAAGAACCAGCGCCTGTGGTTTGGTGATTCGGCTCTTCGTTGTCGCAAGCTGGAGACTCCAGTTCGATTCCCGAGTGGGTAAACATTTTCATCGAGTATTTCGGTCTTTTTATGCTGGTATGTTGCATCACTCTCAGTCATTATAGGCAGGGTCGGAAGCCCGTCTCTTAAATGACCGAAATTGCGTTGATGGGGTCCTAAAAATCATCTACATTTTTCGTGTTTCGTTAGAGCGCATTTGCTCTGTGCATGCCTGACTATACTTAGAGAAGTACATTGATAAATGCTCAACTGTGGGAAAGAACAAGCCACAGGCCAGTAAAGGAAGACATACAGGTGAAGAAATGGAAATGGATTGGGCACACCTTGATGAGACTCCCGACAAGCATCATCAGGCAGGCTTTGACGTGGAATCCACAAGGAAAAAGTAAGAAAGGAAGACCAAAGATGACATGGAGGCGAGCGGTACAAGCGGAAATTGAAAAGGCGGGGACATCATGGAAACAGCTAGAAAAGGATGCACAGGACAGGCTTCGCTAGAGAAATGTTGTTGATGGAAGCCCACTGGGAGTTAAAAAGGGCAAGAGAGAGACATTGATAAAAGTTGCTTGTTGTCTAGGACCATATTATTAAAGGACGCCATCTGGTTAGTAAAACAACGGGTATGTAGTCTATAAACAAACACACAAACAAACAAACAAACAAACAAAAACCAACCACAACTACCCCCCACCCCCCACCCCCCAAATAAAACAAGGTAAAAAAAAAAAAGAAAGAAACCAAAGGAGGTAGAAAAGAGAAGAGCCAGAAAAGTTCCCATGTACACTTTTTTTTTTTACTTTCTGCTTCTTTTTCACGTAGGGCGGTATGACGGCATTTCCGGTTTGGTCAAAGGCCGCCAAACTGCTGAAGACCAGGCTGGACAGAGTGGAGCGTCTTTCCGTGGCGCGGGATCCGGACACAGGGCGCGCCGCAGCTGGAAAATGAGAAGAAGAAAAAATGTGTCACGGCGTGGTAAAATCACGCGTTCGTCAATTTTTAGGCATATGGGGTTATTCAAATCATCTTAAAGCGTGTGCATTTGCCTTCGGTTTGGTGAAAAAATATCGATCTATGCTGAATAGAAGTCGAAATATTTGCAATAGAAGGAGGTGGGGGCGCCTGGTTTCAGAGGTAAAATAAGCGAGAAAATGGCCGCCAAAGTTTGGTAAATTCAACAGCTTGAGAGTCCTTGAAAACTGGACATTTACTCATTTTGCGCCTTTAATCTATGTTTTCCGAAGAACAAGAACAAGAAGAACAAAAACAAGGACACGAAGAGGCCAACACGACCCCACACCCCTATTTCACGGACCAGGAAGGAGGAGCTAGAAGAAGCTAGATCTAGATCTACCTTCGTGCTGTAGCGCCAGTTTCTCCCTCTCTCTCTCGGCCTGTAGCTCTGCCAGGGAGTGGGACCTTCTGTACGGTGGCGCCTGCTCCTTGACCGTCCGGCTGACGTCATAGCTGGTCCGGCGTGGCGGGAACCTCATGCCAGGGAAGCGGCCCTCCTCGATGTCGATGTTCTCCGAGTCGGATAAATCTGGGGGGAAATCATGAGAACGTGTGTAAGATAAGATCAGATGAGATAAGATAGGATGAGATAAGATGAGATGAGATGAGACCCAGATGCACACACACACTCACGCACACACACACACACACACACACACACACACACACACACACACACACACACACACACACACACACACAGAGTGAGAGAGAGGGAGGGAGAGAGAGACAGACAGAGAGAGAGACAGAGAGAGAGAGAGAGAGAGAGAGAGAGAGAGAGAGAGGGAGAGACAGAGACAGAGACAGAGGAGGTGGGGGTTGGGAGAGAGATGGCTGAATAAGAGAACGCTTCCAAGAAATAGACTAAGCCATTGATTCTCCTACAAAGAGCACGCTCCAATTTTAGACAAAGTGCTTATCATAATCACTTATCTTATTATAATGGAGCTAAGCCCGTGTGTGGGGTCAGTACACATCTTTCACACAGGTGCCCATAACTCTACAAAAATAGGATTCAGTTCAGAATTCTCTCAAAGGGTTACGAAGGCATCTTTTTAACGTTCGGAAACTACTTTTTGTTTTTTTCAGCATTGGCGGTTTTTCCTGTAAATTGAAGCTCTCAGATGCCCGTAGCCATTTCATATTTTACTGGGGACTACTTCCGTTTTGAAACCTGCTTCGTCGTGTGAGCTGCTTCATTTGTTTCCAGATCTAGAATCTCGATATCCAACTCATTTTGGATGTGTGCTTCGCAGTGTCGATGGATACTTCAGGACAAAGTTCATTGTATTGACTTTTTCTAGATATCTTTGGTGTAGTCATTTCCCCAACACATTGAGTTCGTTTAGACCCACAAAATGTTTACTTCGCTGTATGGACTTTTTCAAAATTTGGCGCGTATTTGGAGCGTAGTTTTTTTTTAATAGAGCAAGACTCTAGATTTAGAGTATATTATGTCCTAGATGTATATATATATATATATATATATATATATATATATATATATATATATATATATATATATATATAGACCACAGAATTCAAGACTGATTTGGAGTAGTTTGCAAGAACAGAAGTGCTGTTTGTGCTTTGTGACTGAAGGGTCATGGGTTTGAACCCTGCCATGGGGTGACAACTGTGTCCTTGGTAGAGATAATAATTTGTTGTATGAAGTGGGAATGGGTATCCGGCGGTAGACGGGAAAGATGTCTGGTTATGTTAAGAGTAAAAGTTGTTCCCGCATCCGATCTGGACATTGGGGATCGCTTTGTTAGTGAGACAACTTCCTGGGCCTTCGGCATATTGTGGTAGGGTGGCCAGTTCCTTTCAACACCGCCTTTACTTCCCCAACTCAAAGTCAGGTACCCATTACTGCTGGGTGGGCAGGAGGGGGCGGTAAATATCCGTGTCCAGAGACGATCGCACTAACCGCTCCGCCACCGCACCCTCTATATAAATAGTAAAAAGGTTATAATGAAATAGCAAGATAAATTGCCCACTACACCCTTAATTGAGACGTGACGCCTAGACAGTCACATGGATTCGGAAAATCTTTGTGTCTTTTTCCTCTAGAATTGATAGCGTTGTCGGTGGTGTCGAGATTAGGCTCCTCGACGGTGCAAACAGGCGATGTGAGTTCGATTCCTGAATGGGGAAGGGTTTTCTTTTATCGAGTATCGTCTGTCTGCTCGGATGTTGAGTCTCTCTCAGCCCAGGTTGGCCCTCCAAAATAAGGTTGAAGACCCCGCTTATTAATTAACGCTATCCGTACGTCGTGTTTTACTATAGTATCCATCCGACGCGGGGAACTCTGTGACATCACTTTCCAAAGAGGAAATTTACTCGTTAATCCAATTCGTACGCTTTGCACAGCAGTCTGTCAAAATGATTATTTGAGAAAAATTGAAAGTTTCAAAGAGATCTCCGAACTAGATCTAAAAGTATTCTAAAATGTGAAGAATACAACCTTGGGGGTACAAAAATGACCCCAGGGCGTACGGATTGATTCGATGGAGGCGTAAAACAGTTACATGAAAAGTTTGTGTTTGTGTTTTAGTGAAGAGAAGCACATCGACACAATAACGGCCACTTAGTGCAGGGAAAGAGACACACATGCTGACAGAATCAACAGAGGGAAAGAAAAGAAGCAGGACGTATCAGTGGCGCCCTCCAAACACCCACTTAAGAAAAAGTAAACAATAAGAATTGATCCTTCTCTATCGAGGAATCTGAGAGCGTTGTTAGAGATTTTTCCCGGTCGGTTTTTGCACTCCAAGCTATCCTTGATATGACGGGAATTTCCCTTATCTTGATGGGATCTGAGCAATGTGCTTCTGCCGCCATTGAACGCAGATAATAATACATTTTTCTTTTTTTTCTATTCATTTTTTCTGGGCCTTTTGTATTAATTTGAATCCCACAATGTGTGTGGAAGGCGGGAGGTTGAAGGGTGCCAATGGTGGATCTAGATTCTGCTTATTTTCTTTTCCCTCCGAGATTTTTCGCCCTTGTCCGAGAAGGCTAGGTTTTTCTACCAGAAGATAAGGGGTGTGGCTGAAAGACAGCAGAAAGAAGGAGCCAAGGAGTAGCAGTAAAAAGGCTGCAAAACGAGTCAGGAGCGCAGAGGAGGAGGAGGCAAAGGAGGTGAAGGGGTGGGGGCGATCGCAGGTTTACGTCTTACAAAATCCTCTAACAACAACGATGAGGAAACCAAACCTATCAAAAGATGCCAGAAACCTTCAGTAGCTCTCATTCAAACTAACCATTGTGTGGAGGTTGTTTTGTTTTTTTAATGGTGTTTTTGCCAAAACAGTACAAAATAACAGTAAAATGCCCACTCTCGCTACCCGGTCACCCTCAAAATTAAAAAAAAAATTGTAATAAAAAAAAACCGCAGACTAAACAAAACAAAACACAAAGCAACAGACAAAATAAAACAAAACCAACAACTCCAAACAATAAACTTTACGCACTACGGTAAAAAAAAAAGGAACC